CTCTCACTTTAAATGGAAGCTGAGAAGCTAAATCGGCTACCATCACCCGGCCATCGCCTCCAGAATTTTTCGTTCTTTTTTGAAATAACCAACTAAATAAATAGTTTACACAGTTTTTTAATTTTTTTACCTTACAACAGGGACGCCATTGTAAGGTAAAAAAATTAAAAAACTGTGTAAACTATTTATTTAGTTGGTTATTTCAAAAAAGAACGAAAAATTCTGGAGGCGATGGCCGGGTGATGGTAGCCGATTTAGCTTCTCAGCTTCCATTTAAAGTGAGAGTTGTAACGGGCGCCGGGAAGCTGGTAGCGTCTCCAGGTGTCCGGAATAACTTACGGGAACATCAGCTTTTAATCTCAAAGGCAGTTTTGACTAGGGTTGAATGATAAAGGTGTTTTCCTCTTCAATTATTTATTGTGAAAGTGTACATACCAGATTGGATTCCAGGCGTCAAAGTACATTAAGTATTGGTTTTACTTAGACTATTATGGCTGGTCCATGGTCAAAGATATCAAAATGATATTTATAAAGATATCATTAAAATTAAAGATGATAAAGACAAGTTAAAGAGTATAAAGATCACATAAAGAGTATAAAGAGCTGAAACAAAAGAGACATTTGTGAGACCAGGCAACATGGCTAGATATACCTATGTATGACAATTTTAATCTTAATTCTTACCTGCAATCGCAACTCTTTTAAAGTTTTACTAATGGGCCATTGGCACCAATATTAGTTTGCAAAAATGCGATGAGCGCATTTTTGGAAAAAGAAACCGAACTATAAATTATTATTATATTTCACATTTTTAAAAGTGACTGTTCGTGTTTGCAAAGAACCGAAAAGTAATGTTGCCAGGTCGCACTTCCAAAAACGCCGCGAGTCTCAGTGTTGGCGCATTAAAATTTAAATTTGGGCATGGACTAACCATAAATTACAAAAGTTTTCTTAAATTTAGAATAACAATTATTACGTATTTATTTTAATGTTTTATGAAATTAAGACAATTTTTAAAGATGTGTTTCGTTTATTAAAAAAAAATAGGGAAAATCCTTAAGTGACGGATGTCAAACCATATATTATTTATCTATGTATGTGACGGCGTAAATACGACGTTACAGTATCTTATTTAAAAATTAGTTTCCTTATAGAACTTGGTTTGTAATAGAGATGTTTATGGTGGGCGGTGCTCAAAATTTTCTTATTTTTGTTTGCTTCTAGCAAAGTAATTAGAGATACTGTTTTTTTTTTTCATTTTGTTATAATGTTATCAAAAGACAGAGTCTTTGGTGGGCGGAATGTCTAGAATTATAGTACCACAAATCAAAGGTTAGATGGCATTGTAGTTGTCTGAATCGCGCTATGGATTTGAGCACCGAGAGTATCTATAGTATCAAGGAATGTTTACATGAATGATCAATAGATGGGGACATTTTTCCAATCCAATCGCGGTAGCGTTTAATGCATATTGAAACTATATAGCAACTTTAATAAGTTCAATAAAAAGAGAATTTTTAGAAGCAGTTACATTGAGTTTTATTTACACACATCGAACGAGTGAATATAATATATATATAGCAAAAAGCTTTGCAAATTTGCATATTCAAATGTAAATAACAAAACAATAACACAATGATCATAGTTAACAAGGTAATAAAAGTTTAAGTTATATGCAATATGCATCAATTGGTATAAACCAAATAATTGTTTTTAAGTCGAGTAAATTCTAAGAAATTTGCATGTGCAAAATACTAAATTAACATACAAAGGTAGTTAATATTATGTGATGCATCACTACAGACGTATATAGAACATTTCAAATATGGAATAAAGTTCAAAACAAGTAGTTTAAATGAAAAGTTAATATTAACACGAACCATCCAAAACATTAAGTTAAATTGTAATAATATTACAAACAAAATCTATGTTTATGTATCAAAATTCAAGTACAAAAGTTATATTATATCACAAATGTAATAATAAAGATGACAAACAACCAGACAAGACTACTATTATAGGTACAAAATGAGATGGATTGCATAAACACAAGTCCCTGTGCGCTGGCGTCAATTGTAATATTAAAAAATATAAAGCAATGGTGACAATTGTAATAGTTAATAATAAATTTTTGAAATGGACAGGCCGAAATCAATTAAAAAGAATATTCGGGCGCCTGGACTGTACCATATTATTAGCCGGGAAAGCAATGGACCATTAATCGCAAGGGGAGCTTAATGCGAATCCATATGCATTTTGGGTTGTCAATTTATTTAAATTTACTACAGAATTACTGGTCCAAAAGGGTTACTGCTAAATTTTGAAACTACTTTATATACTAAAGCTACCAAGATGTAAGTGAAAATGTTACCTTTAATATGGGGGCCGATACACAATTATGAATTTAGAAGATTACCGACCTCGTTGCATCTTTGGAGTTAAATATGTCTGGTGTTGCAAATATGTAAGGGATGGCCGTTGTTACATCCCGTGGGTTCACCTCCACCTCATGGGAAATGTTGTAATTTGAATGAAAAAATCCAGATAAAAAATCCTAATAAAAAAACGCTTTTTGCTGAAAATAAATATTCCTCAGATTAGCACATGGCTCACAACAAAGGAAAAAATGTCAAAACTAAGGAAAACTCTAAGGTTCTTACCGTTTTACAAACAAATTAAGCTTGGAATGAGATCGCTGTCATTCCGCGCAAACGGTGTAAAATATTACATCTGTAAACAAAATCAATCCTCATGTAAATCATTGAAATATATGAATTAAAACACTTTTTGAATTTGGAAAAACACTTACCATTCAAAACAATCGACAATCCAATGGATTATCAAGTAAACAATTTAGATTAATTATCTTACATGTTTTACGTAAAAATTTTGGTCGTGAAGTGAAGTGACAGAAGTGACATTAGTTTTTTCTTAAGTTTGTTTTCTCTTGCCGGGAAGGCAAAGAGAACAACGTCCATACAGCCTATTGCTTGATAAATGCAGAAACATAATAATTCAAAAGTGCACAGATTAAAGAAAATGGACGCGAGATAAAAACGACCAGAGAGACAAGCAAAAAAATCTTCTATCTCGCTCTTCGAGCGAAGGAGATTCATGTAACGTTTTTTAACACGTTACACACTATAGCTTCTCTGAAAATTATAAAACAATGTCCTTATAAACTGCAAAGATAAAGTTAAGCGATTGATCACCAACTCTGTGGGTCTGCGGTTGGTGTCCGACGGGCGCTAGAGCGCGCCTCTAGGAAGGAAGGAAGATCCTGCTATCCTAACACTGAGTAGATACCTGGTGCGCCAGCGTGTACTCGCAGGGGAAGGCGTCCTGCTGCTGCGGCGGTTGGTGCCCGGCGGGCGCTAGAGATGTGGTCAGACAGCAAGATCCTCCTATCCTACCACTGAGTAGATACCTGGTGCGCCAGTGTGTACTCGCGGAGGAAGGCGTCCTGCTGCTGCGGCGGTTGCAGCCCGGCGGGCGCTAGTGGTGCGGTCAGCCAGCAAGATCCTCCTATCCTACCACTGAGTAGATACCTGGTGCGCCAGCGTGTACTCGCGGAGGAAGGCGTCCTGCTGCTGCGGCGGTTGGTGCCCGGCGGGCGCTAGAGATGTGGTCAGCCAGCAAGATCCTCCTATCCTACCACTGAGTAGATACCTGGTGCGCCAGCGTGTACTTGCGGAGGAAGGCGTCCTGCTGCTGCGGCGGTTGCAGCCCGGCGGGCGCTAGAGGTGCGGTCAGCCAGCAAGATCCTCCTATCCTACTATTGGGTAGATACCTGGTGCGCCAGCGTGTACTCGCGCAGGAAGGCGTCCTGCTGCTGCGGCGGTTGGTGTCCGGCGGGCGCTAGAGGTGTGGTCAGCCAGCAAGATCCTCCTATCCTACCACTGAGTAGATACCTGGTGCGCCAGCGTGTACTCGGGCAGGAAGGCGTCCTGCTGCTGCGGCGGTTGGTGCCCAGCGGGCGCTAGAGGTGTGGTCAGCCAGCAAGATCCTCCTATCCTACCACTGAGTAGATACCTGGTGCGCCAGCGTGTACTCGCGCAGGAAGGCGTCCTGCTGCTGCGGCGGTTGGTGTCCGGCGGGCGCTAGAGGTGTGGTCAGCCAGCAAGATCCTCCTATCCTACCACTGAGTAGATACCTGGTGCGCCAGCGTGTACTCGCGCAGGAAGGCGTCCTGCTGCTGCGGCGGTTGGTGTCCGGCGGGCGCTAGAGGTGTGGTCAGCCAGCAAGATCCTCCTATCCTACCACTGAGTAGATACCTGGTGCGCCAGCGTGTACTCGCGCAGGAAGGCGTCCTGCTGCTGCGGCGGTTGCAGCCCGGCGGGCGCTAGAGGTGCGGTCAGCCAGCAAGATCCTCCTATCCTACCACTGAGTAGATACCTGGTGCGCCAGCGTGTACTCGCGCAGGAAGGCGTCCTGCTGCTGCGGCGGTTGGTGTCCGGCGGGCGCTAGAGGTGTGGTCAGCCAGCAAGATCCTCCTATCCTACCACTGAGTAGATACCTGGTGCGCCAGCGTGTACTCGCGGAGGAAGGCGTCCTGCTGCTGCGGCGGTTGGTGCCTGGCGAGCGCTAGAGGTGTGGTCAGCCAGCAAGATTCTCCTATCCTACCACTGAGTAGATACCTGGTGCGCCAGCGTGTACTCGCGCAGGAAGGCGTCCTGCTGCTGCGGCGGTTGGTGTCCGGCGGGCGCTAGAGGTGTGGTCAGCCAGCAAGATCCTCCTATCCTACCACTGAGTAGATACCTGGTGCGCCAGCGTGTACTCGCGCAGGAAGGCGTCCTGCTGCTGCGGCGGTTGGTGCCCAGCGGGCGCTAGAGGTGTGGTCAGCTAGCAAGATCCTCCTATCCTACCACTGAGTAGATACCTGGTGCGCCAGCGTGTACTCGCGCAGGAAGGCGTCCTGCTGCTGCGGCGGTTGGTGTCCGGTGGGCGCTAGAGGTGTGGTCAGCCAGCAAGATCCTCCTATCCTACCACTGAGTAGATACCTGGTGCGCCAGCGTGTACTCGCGCAGGAAGGCGTCCTGCTGCTGCGGCGGTTGGTGGCCGGCGGGCGCTAGAGGCGCGGCCAGCCAGCGTACGGCGTCGCGCGGCATCTTCAGCGCGCCCGCAAGACGGCCCAGCGCAAATTGCACGTGGTCCGTCGACAGACGCCAGCCGCTGCCTTCGTACACCTACACCACGATAAATCCTTATTGAACAGTACCCTTAGCACGAACCAATATCGAATTCGAATAGTTGAACTCGATCTTGATACAAGTCCAATGTCAAAAAGTTTGGTATGAAAGATTTTTAATTCTCGTTCTGTCCGTTATGGCGCTGTCCTCCATACAATACTTTTTGACATTTAACACATATCGCGATCGAATCAAACTATTTGAATTCGATATTGGTTCATGCTAAGGGTTACAGAATGCGCTAATTTCAGGAACGACAGGTCTGAATTGTAAAGTTATTTTTGTGTCCCTTTATCAAAAAAGGCTGATTTTATATAATATGTAAACATATTTATTCCATTTATATAGTAAAAGCGCTTTCGTTTAAGGTTTGCTTTCTTTTATGATTCGCTCACTACAAACATTTCCCTCAAATTAATGCAGATAAAACAGCAGGCACAGCTAGCAATAAAATATACTAAACAATTAAAACATTTATCATGTGGGTATTATTCAATAGAAAATATCAAACCTGAAAAGCTTGCTTGTAACATCTATAAGCATGTTTCTTTTGCCCCGCTTTTGAAAATCTGTGACCTGCAAGTACCATGTGGAAAGCATACTTTCTACACATCGCCTTGGAACCAGGGCCCGATAGGAAGCACAAGGATGCTTGCTCCAGCAGCATCGCGCTACGCAAATCACTGTCTTCTGATGTCATACGAATAAGTTGCTTAGCTGCTTCGCCATGAAGGCCCGCGCCACTTAAACAGAGCACAGATAGTAATGTGGCTCGAACTGCATACTGGACCATCCTGACAAAGTAATGAGAAAAAATATTATGAAAAGAAGTTGTAGTTTAATAGTTGATATACCAATGAATGCAATAATATAAAAATAGATTTATAACAATATGAGGACTTCTACTATAATAATACTAAATATTAAGTATCATTACTAAATAATAGTATCAATAAAGATGCATAGGGAAAAAAAAAACCATTGTGTATTTTTAAACTATAAACTATTATGTAAATCCCATTACCTGCATGTATTTAAATAAGTTATAATGCTTTCTTCCATGTATCCATATGTTTTACGATTCGCTTCACCTGCCATAAAAGCACTTATAGCAGCCATTTCAAGAGCTCCAGCATAACATAGCCAAGCACTGTCTGCAGAAAACTCTCTTTTTGCTGTGTGGTATGTATCGAATGCTCTTTGCCATTGCCCACATAAAAACCACAAGTCACCTAGTCTACGTAATTGCAGTTCTGGACAATCATTGGAATATCTGTAAACACAATTTCTAAAATAACCCTACAGGATTTTGATGTTGCATGAAGAATATCCAATAGAAGTTTTGTAGTTTTCAAAAACTGGTATCAATATAATATTTGCAAAATAATAAATTAGGTTGGAAACCATGGGTTATTAAAATTACTTAACTCACCAGGACGACAGACAAACAGTGAATGGAAACCGTGCAATAAATAAGTGAAATATTCAAAAGTTAAAATTTGTTATTGACTTACATAACTGTATTATTTCCTGTAGTATTGCCAGTTTTTCCAGTACCAAACCACCTCTTAGTAGCAGAAAGCAGAGACCTACTAACTCCTTTTCTATTTGCTACCTGAACAAAATAATAATTATACAGTCAATCTTTTGTGGTAAATATATACTTTATCATATATACTTTATCACATATACTTCAGCACTTACCACCTCTGATAGTTGAGAGATTTGTTTTTCTAAGTAAGGTAACAATGCTTTTGTAGCATAATCTACTACAAACTTTTTAATAGCTTCAACATTATTTGAATTCATTGCAGCCCCATGACTTTCAGTAGCAAAATCAAAGAGTTTCCCATTGACATTCATACTTTCTGAACTTCCTGAGAAAGAGTGAGTCTAAAAAAATTAACACAATATTATTTCAATTAGCAAAATGTTCAGTAGCTTCTTTAACAGAAATTTAATGAATATATGTCTTACTTGCAAACTGTTAGCATTATCATATGTATCATTATCCGAAGCAGTCAGAGGATGAGAAGTTTCTTGAATTGAAGATGATGTGAGTATCATTTCATCAGCTGGAAAATATAGGTGCTAGTATTGAAATATCTGACATTAACATAAAAAAGATGAATCCTGGCAATATTATGACTGACCTGGGGTGGCATTAGATGATTGAGTTGGTGAGATCTGAGAATCCAGTGGTGTAGTTGGTAGATTTGTCATTGAAGATGTCATATCAGCCTGTTAAGAAATTATACAGGTGAGATGCAGTTTTAATTAAATGAATACTATATAATTTAAGGATTATAAATACATTTGACTCAGTAGCTCTCTTGATATATTGTGCCCAAAAGTCACTTGATAAGTTTGTATCTTTACTAGTCTTTGAATTGATTGATAACATGAAACAGTTAGTTGCTCCAAATGTTTGTTTCACTGTTTCAAAGACAACATCTGCTCTGAAAATAAAATATAAATGAGTAATAAATCAATATAAAGCATGAAATTATAATACTTAATAAAATTAATACCAACTTATCCTTAGCCACGGCAGTCACATCATGAAGAAGTAAGTATGATTTAAGAACACCATTATTAAACCATTTAGGTAATTTGGGAGGCGTAACATTTTGTAATAGTGCATATTGTTGATTCAAAGAATTAAATGTATCAATTATATTATCATCTTCTGTAGTACCTACTATAATGCATGATAAAAAATGTTTTGTAAATTCATGATCTGAAGGAAATTGCACTTCCAGATAAGTTTCTCTCCAAGCATCAAACCAAGGAGTTGCATGAGGAATAGCAAATTTTCGTCCATCTGTAATAATTTGTAGATTAAATTGTAATAAGAATACAAATAATATAATATCATTTCAGTATAAAAAACAGTGTAACCAAAATTCCAATATTACAGCATAAAGCTGACCTCTTACTTAAGATATGCAAAAAAGACAGTAGCTCCGGTTATACATTGCTCAGATAGTATTGTTTTTGTTTAAAGAATTTTACCAGAATATTGAACAATTAAAAATAAGTATGAAAAAGTAAACACAGATGACATATAAAATACATACCAATATCAATTAGGACAGTTTTGTCATTATAATTGTGCAAGACAGCATTGTTTAGCTGCTTTCTTGCTTCAGTTGGTTGCAAAGGCTTCCAATTAACATCCCTGAATATAAGTTTCCATGATTTTACAGTGCACAAGCTTCCTCCAGGCTCTCGAAATTGACCTATAAGTTTTGAGGAGATAATAAAACGAAAAAATATTGGTTCAAAATGTCCCTCCCTGACATGATAAATTTATAAATACCCTATGTTAAATAAATTTAAAAAATTATCAACGGTATAGATGCACTGATTTTATTTATTTATTGAAGTTTCTCATCCTTTTCAGGATGCGTCATCTGAATAATTTATTAATTTTTATATTTATTTATTTAGATAACGCATCCTGAAAAATATGCGAAACGTCAATAAAGAAATAAAATCAGTGCATCCATACTGTTGAAACTTGTTTTATAGGCAATAATTTTTTTCTAAGGAAAATATCCTTAGAAATAATCTCGAAAATTTCATTGAATAAAACTTACTGTCTGTGTCTAGATTAGTAAAAGGCTGCAGTAATTCTATAAAAGATAAATTGTTTTTTCCAACTACACTATCTACTTTTGAACTACACAGTACTGCTATTATAGGCGAAAATGAGTTTTGAATAAATTCCTGTGCAGTTTTTCCAATTCTGGCCATGACAGATTTTTGGCAAGCACTTGCAGCGAATTAAACGGCTAGATCAATAGGAGGAGTACTATGTTTCGAAACTATACAGTACAAGGAAATTATGTAAAGTGTGACTTTATTTGCACGTATCTCACATTTTTCACAAACACATTATTATCTTAATATTGTCATTGTCAACACAGATCACTATTTATTAGATTGTCAAGAAAGAAAAAACCAAAGCAAAAATCGGATCCATATCCATCCCATCAAAAATCAAACGGACATCTGCTTGATTTCATAGCTATTCGTATTTGGCTATTTGTTATTTGACAGCAGTCTCTCCTTTTCATTTCTTTTATCATGATAAGGGTATACTACTGTCAAATGTAGAAATAGCAAAATAAGAAGTGCGCTCCGGGTTTGGGTGGTAGCTTATAGTTATAGCAACACCGGCTAGGGATAAACGATACGAGTAAATACAAGTAACTACTCGATACTTTTCTTTCGATACCAAGTACTTCGCATCGATACTGCAGAATTGAGTAACAAGTAGTATCGTGATAATAAGTACTTGTATCGGTACTCGGCTCTCTTTACTTTAGTCATTGGTACTCGGTCGGTCACTCACTGACAATAATCTCTATCTACTCTACTCTATGGGTACGGCGGCCGTACCCATAGGGTACGGGTGCGGCCAGAGTGCACTCAGATTCAGATTCAGATTCCGAAAACAAGCGCGAGAAATAAACAGTGTAGTCTAAGCAGGTTGCTTGCTTTTTCTCGCGCTTTGTTTTCTGAGTCTGAATCTGAATCTGAATCAGGAGTGCAATCTGGCCGTACCCTTCGACTACACTGTTTATTTCTCGCGCTTGTTTTCAGAATCTGAATCTGACTCTGAATCTGAGTGCACTCTGGCCGCATCCTACGGCCAGAGTGCACTCAGATTCAGATTCAGACTCAGAAAACAAGCGCGAGAAATAAACAGTGTAGTATAAGCAGGGTGGCCATAGTGGCAGCAGGCAACCCGCTTAAACCACACTATATATTTCTCGCGCTTGTTTTCTGAGTCTGAATCTGAATGTGAGTGCACTCTGGCCGTACCCATAGAGTAAATAATCTGCCAATCGAGTTTTATGATACTTGTCAGTGAGTGACCGACGGAGTACCAATGACTAAAGAGAGCCGAGTACGGCCACAGTGCACTCAGATTCAGAATCAGATTCAGACTCAGAAAACAAGCGCGAGAAATAAACAGTGTAGTTTAAGCTTGGTTTAAGCAGATTGCCTGCTGCCACTATGACCACCCTGCTTAAGTGCTAGTAGGCCGCACTACGGTTTTTTCCCGCAAGCGGTAAACCGCAAAACCGCGAAACCGCCCGAAGCACACACACTACGATTAAAAACCGCGAAACTATACATGATTTATCACAGTTTGAGGATGGATTTCAAAAGAGCTGTATGTATATTTGCTTTAATACTAAGAAATAGAAAAAGAAAACGTCGTCACCAATTTCATAAATATTGGGTATAATACGTGTGGTATAGCGCTGGTCTTTTCTGCACTTCTACTATGATTTATGAAGATAAATTTTCATAATCTGGCTCGTTTGAAACACACTCCGACTTAGTCGACGACATAGTTACGACGCGATACCTACATACAACACAACGGATCTTGACGGCGGCGCGGTCTCACGAATAATAATAGAAACCGCCCGCGGTTACCGCATCAATGTGTGCGCGTCAATATATATTGTATGGACTACAAATTTTGGCGCGGTTTTTACCCGCGAGCCATTCTGTAATAAATCACGGTTTTAAAATCAATCGCGGGAAAAAACCGCTGGTGCGGCCGCTTGCATTAATGAATCGTATGACGATGGCGCCAAATATAAAACTTTCACGAAACCAGGGTACAAACAGAGTTATCCTGATGTTCCAGACAACAGATTCACGGAAGTTCCAGTTTATGTGGAGAGTATTCAAAAGGAAGACAAAATTAGTAATAAAAAAAAATGGTTGCCTGTAAAGTCGGTTTTACGGGCGAAGATTTTACGTGACAACGTCTTTTTCTCGGTAGAATATTTATTGATATGAATATAATTAAATTGCACAATAGGAACAAGGAATTGAATGAAAATAAGAATTGCACAAATTTTAACTATAGAAATATATTTTGTTTACTAAAACATTGTACATGTAAACTTAAACTTAACACGAGAGACTCATCGTAACGTTACCGAGCGTTACACTTTTTCATAAGTGACTCCCAGCCGCAACCTAATTTAAGACGTTGTCACGTCAAAATCCATTACAACTATCGAAGTTTTTTAAGAATGTTAAAGGCATCTTTGAACGACGTAGAGTCAACGCGTCCAAAATAATGATAGTATTTAAGCAGGCGGCAGCTGCCAATGACTTTTGACGTGACAACGTCTTAAATTAGGTTGCGGCTGGGAGTCACTTATGAAAAAGTGTAACGCTCGGTAACGTTACGATGAGTCTCTCGTGTTAAGTTTAAGTTTACATGTACAATGTTTTAGTAAACAAAATATATTTCTATAGTTAAAATTTGTGCAATTCTTATTTTCATTCAATTCCTTGTTCCTATTGTGCAATTTAATTATATTCATATCAATAAATATTCTACCGAGAAAAAGACGTTGTCACGTAAAATCTTCGCCCGTAAAACCGACTTTACAGGCAACCATTTTTTATGGAATGATTGTTTGACTCAAAATGGCATGCGGGCATATATTCCTGCAGCTTCTGTGGAGAGGGTTGGGGTAGTGCTTTATATCCCGACAGAAGAGGGAAATCAAGAATTGTATTCTAATTCTAAATTGTACTCAACGCTGATGCTGAGATCATCTCAGTCAGACGCTTCATGAAGAAAACTGGTTCAGATTTGGTTCCCCTAACAACAATCGCTGTAACTTTTTCAGGCACAATATTACCACAATTCATTTATCTGGATAATTGGAGATACAAGGTCCATGAATACATTCCTCCAGTTATGCAGTGTTACCGATGTCTGAAGTTCAACCATTCAGCTAAGGTCTGTCGTAATGAACAGGTATGTTCCAAGTGCTCGGGTGATCAAAGCTTCAGAGACTGTGATTCAGAAGTTCTGAAATGCAGTAACTGTGGCGGGGATCATCTGGCAGTTTCTAGGTCATGCCCAATAAAAATGGCCAAAGTAGATAACAAAAAGAAAAGTTTCGCAAGTATGTTAAAAAACTCGGCTGTTAACGATTTTCCTGCCCTCCCCCTCACTAATTTCTCAACCAAGAAGTTATAATCAATAATAATTAATAATCAAAATCATTTATTCAGTTTAGGCTGTTACAAGCACATAAGAATATCTAGAAACTACGCCATCGGTTCGTAAATCTACGGCGGGAGACCTTGTACTGAGAAGAACCGGCAAGAAACTCAACAAGGGCTGTTTTTTTCTCCCTGTTTTATCATTTACAGTGTCGTCAAGTTGAAAAATGACTTCAGAGATGATTCATGAAGTCACCTTTCATTACATAATGTGAAATTATACATTAATTGTACACCTGCATTTTGATTGCTGTGTAGTATAAATACAAACAGAGTTATTTATAATAGGTGTAATTAAACATTTACATCTTAAATATCAAAGTAGTTAGGGCAGACTCATCTCCGCTGGCAGCACCCGTTCACGAGCATGACGCATGAACCAGCCATCGCTTCGCTCAACCATATTTTAGGGACCGTAACGACCCACCTCACACGACACCACAGAAGAGACCTTTCAGAGAGCATGACTACCTATAACCACCTTTATCGACCACAACATATTTACTTAAACTTAAAGTCATTTATCTGTAGGACACTGCAAACAATACAAAGCAAAAACAATGGAGAAATCATGACCACGCCGTTTTGTCATTCAAATCTTCTTATAAAGTCTGATATTGTTCCTTACGAAATCAACTTTAAATATTTCAATAGAAGTATCATGAACACATGATTCATAATATATATCATATAAAAATACCCGTTGGAATGGTTGGAACAGTTCAAACCCAAGCATTTTGGTCTGAAATATAATCAGACACTTTATAATAAGCATCAAGAGATTTTTTAATGGTCGATTTAAATTTAGTCAGGCTTAACTCTTGAATATTGCTTGGGACTTTATTGTAAAAGCGAACACAGAGGCCTCTAAATGAATTATTAATTTTGTGGAGCCTAGTAGCAGGTAGAGTTAACTTATTTTTACTTCTAGTATTAAATGTATGTATTTCACTATTTTTAGTAAATAAACTAATATTTTTTTTTGACATATACTAAGTTTTCATATATGTATTGTGATGCAACCGTCATTATGCCTATTTCTTTAAACTTATCTCTTAAGGAGTCCTTAACTTTAAGATTATAAATTGATCGAATAGCCCGCTTCTGCAACACAAATATTGTTTGAATGTCGGCGGCATTTCCCCACAGTAAAATACCGTAAGACATTACACTATGAAAATAACTAGACTAATCTGTCAGTTTCTATATCCGTTAACTGACGTATTTTCATTACAGTATATGCTGCAGAACTAAGTCTCTTCGACAATTTATCAATATGTGGGCCCCATTGCAACTTTGAATCTAGTGTGATTCCTAAGAACACTGTGGTATCAACAAGGCTCACATTTCGATCCTTTATATTTACATTCGTTTTTACCTGTTTACCATTAGGTAAAACAAATTTCAAACACTTAGTTTTCCCTTCATTTAGCAGTAAATTATTAACGTTAAACCAGTGGACTACCTTAGAAATAGACTTGTTCACGTCGTCAATTTGCGACTGCCAACGTTTAATTTTAAACAAAAGTGAAGTGTCATCCGCAAACAATACTATTTCATGGTTATCCTTTACGAAATAGGGCAAATCATTGATATAAATTAAAAATAAGAAAGGACCAAGGATTGAGCCCTGCGGAACCCTCTGAACCCTATCACTCAAATATGATACAATAAGATCCAGAGTGGTATCTCCAAATCCATAGTGCTGTAGTTTCCTGATCAATGTTTCATGAAAAACGCAATCTAATGCCTTTGATAAGTCGCAAAACACACCAACCATGCGAGTTCTCCCAGGCATCAAAAATCTGCTGTACAAGCTCAACACCGGCATCGGTTGTTGAGCGACCCCTTGTGAAATCAAATTGTTTACTATGCATTAAGTTATTACTATAAAAACATGATTGCATTTGATCTAGCATAATCTTTTCAAAAATCTTACTAAAGGTGGGTAGCACGGATATGGGTCTAAAATTTGTGGGGTCAGATGTGCTACCCGATTTATGCAATGGAGTTATTTTACTATGTTTCATTAGATCAGGAAAAACACCACAGTCAACACATTGATTAAAAATGCTAGCCAGAATAGGAGCTATTGTCTCAATTACTGATTTAGAAACATCCACGGAGTTACCCCACAGATCCGCGGTTTTCTTTTTATTCAATTGGTTAAAATATTTGATTATTTCATTAGAGTTAACATATTTAAATTTAAATTGACTAGTACCTTGTTTTATGTTTTCTTTTAATATTGATTCAGCAGCAATGGGGGAGGAGTCCAAGGATTTTGTAGTTGAAACTGGAATATCAGTGAAAAAGTTCTCAAATACTGTAGCAACTTAAGTATCTGATGTAACATTTCTATTTTCAATGTTTAAATTAAAACTGGTAAGTATTGCGATTTTGATTGATTGATTTGATTTTCCAGTTTCATTGTTTATAATGTTCCATGTCATTTTAATTTTGTCATTACTATTCTTAATCTTACAACTTAAATAATTTGATTTAGCTGTGTGACATACCTTTTTAAATAACTTAGAATAATTACGTACATACTCTCTGAAACTTTCAGTAGTATTAATGCTGCGTTCATTGGATAGTTCATAAAGTTTTCTTCTACTGTTATATATGCCTGGGGTGGCCCACTCACTGAAGGTTACTGCATCACTAACACATATGGTTTTGGGAACGAAGACGTCATTAAATTCTTTACAAAAAATATTAATAAAATCATTATACAACTCATTTGGACTGTCTTTATACTTTAAATAACTCAACTTCCTATCTAATTGAATTTTAAAACGCTGTATACGATTAACTGATTTTGGCACAATAGTGATACATTTCTTGGTTACATTTTTATTTGAATATGGAAAAGTAATCAACTGACCACAGTGATCACTATCTAGTTGATTAACGTTTTTTTTTATATGTGGTATTATATCAGTATAAATATTGTCAATACAAGTGGCCGAAGTGGCCGTTATTCTAGTAGGCTCCATGAACAAGTTTTCCAGATTATATGATGGAAATAGATTTCTTAATTTAATACTCAAACTAGAGGTTTATAATAGATTAATATTAAAGTCACAAACCACAAACAATAAATTGTTTACCAGTGATGACAATTTTTTTTAAATCTTCATCCATAATTTCTTCAAAACAATCATACAATGCTGAAGGAGGTTTGTATACACTCAGTACAATAAGCCGGTCCAGGAGCTCTATTTTTGAATCACTCGTCTGACATAGTATCGTCGAATGCGACTTATGTCACCTTCGCCTATCAAGTCGCATGATACTCATTTTCCGTATTTTTGAATCGTTCGTCGCCGGTGTTACCAATTTATTACGAAATAATAAATATTATTCATTTCACGCAGAAAAAATAAAAACCGGTAATTACCGCAATGAAAACGGAACGAAAAATTGTTAGTACATTGCTGTATATTAAAAAAAATATTTTGTCGTTTATTATGCCGGCACTTCACTTAGCTATTCCTGATAGCTGTTTGTCTACTTGTCATCAGTCTGTCCTTGTCGTTTCATATAGAGCATGACAAAGATAGATTATCACTGTCTAATTGCAAAGTGAAGTGCCGGCATTATAAATATTCAAAACGTCACAACATCGTCGGTCATTTCAAAAGTTCAAAACAGTTTCAAACAGTTTGATTTTCTTCAGTGACTAAATTTAGGCTAAATTCAATCCCACTTATTGAATCGCACAGAACAATATACTCACTTCGAGAGTTAAATCGAAAGAAAAAGATGTCTAAACAAAAAATTAACGGTGCTCAAAAACAAAAACTTTTAGATTTGCTGGCGAGCAAGCCGCAGCTTCGCGCCGGCAAATTTAAAGAAAATTTTACCCATAAAGATGCACAGAGGGAATGGGAGGATATATCCCGAACACTAAATAGTATTCCTGGAGCCAACAAAGATTGGAAAGCGTGGCGAAAAGTAAATATAAGAATTTGTAATACATTTAATAGTGTTTCTAGTTCTTTCTTGTACGTTAACTTTTCTTTGCCTTTTACTTATAGACCTGGCAAGACATTTTGTCAAAGACAAAATCTAAAACTGCCGCCATTAATAGAGTCAGGAGGGGTACAGGTGGAGGTCCACCTCCAACCGAGCCCCTAGATGAATTTGAAGAGGGAGTGGCGGCCTTTCTTCATCAGCATGCCATTAGCGGGCACACAGAGTCTACGGAGTCTGTTGTCACTTTTGAAGGTAAGTGTTATACAAATTTAATCAACAGTAATATGTTCAAAAAAGTTTTAAAATACAACTGCTTAGATGAATTACATTTTCCAATACAGCTACTTAAAGTATGATGAAGTTTAAAAAGTTTGTTCGTTCTTTTCAGATGAACCAATTATTTATAATTATGATATACAAACAATTGAGCCTGTACCGTCAACGTCAGAACAACAGGACTGTTCTTCAATACATGGTAACTAATTACATTAGTACATTTATTACCTTTTTGTCTTAAATTGCACACAGAAATTCTCTGGTGGAAAGCTAGTTTACTAAATGTATATTTGTAATATTTCAGATACCATAATTTTGCCACCATCTGGATATGAGGACTGTGCTCCAGATGTTGTGTTACAGGCACCTCCACCTACACAAGCAAATCGCATAACAAATAGTATGTATTAAGTAACATAGTTTTCGTTCTCCCTTGTGAATTATAACATCCTATCCTACTAATGTTATAAATGTTCAAGTTTGTGGATGATGTGTGTTTGGAAGTCTGTATACTACTCATACAATCAAAATCTACTGGACAGATTTTACAATGTTATACATCAAAATATATTTTTTTTTTTATAAGTCTGCGCATAGACAGACAAAGCTAGTATTGGAATATATAAAATTCCTGAGCATTGTACAGGTGAACTCTCTTCCAACACCTTTTTATAAATAAAAAAAACACTGTTTCAACAGGTTTAAGATTAGTTTTTTATTACTTTTACACATTCCTCTACTTATAAACACAACATACTAGTAAAATGTAGATAGTAAAAGTAATTAAAACACATCTTGAACCTGTTGAAAGAGTGTTTCATTTCATGAGTGGTATATGTGAAAGCATAAGAAATAAATACCTTTCTATTTAATATAATCTGATGGGACAACAGTTCCACACTACCAGAGAAAAGTGAGGCGCAGGACCAACTTTTTACATATCTTCATAACAGCACGGATCATCCTAATTTTCAGACACATGGCAATATTTACCAGCTTGAAACAACAACACAAATAAACATGTTGGTTTAGTATGGGATTCGAACCCACTACCTATAGGTTAAGAGTCCAATACTCTATCTAACCACTATACACAGGCAGTTAAATAATTTAAATGTTTGCAACTATCAGAACTTATCCCATATTCATCAACCAGACTCAAATTGTCCATATTGTGTTTTACAGATAATCAGAAACAAAAAAAAAGAAAAATTAATTTAAAAACTCTGATGCAAGAAAAACTAACAATAAAAAGGAAGCAGCACAAGAAAAGAAGAAAATGTATGCTGCCTTTATTGAAAACATGCAAAGGCAGACTGTGGCACTGGAAAATATTAGCCAGGCATTGGTAAATTTTTGTAATAGGCAATAAGAACTTATTTTTAAATTATGTTATTAGTATATTAAGAAAATTGTGATTTTTGTAAATAATAAGAAAATTGTGTTGTTGTAAGTCATCATTTATCACTTGTTAAAAAATTACTTTAGTTTATTTGTTTGGATTTCGTCGGATTAGCAAAAGGACAGATTCACATTTCGCTGGAGCAGTACAGTAAAATATGGAGAAATACATAGTAATAATAACATATTTGTTATTCTAGTCAATTGTTTAAAGAAATACTTGCTTAACCAACTTTCCATTTAGTTTTGAGATTGCTACAGAAGGCCAAGATTAAAACAATTACATTCAGCAATTTAAAGTGACATCCAAAAAGACAAACAAATTGGACTAATTTTATCTGATTGTGTTATGATAGTTATAATTAGTTTTTCCAATATTTAATTGATTCGTTTCTTTAGTATTTTTAAATCTATAGCAGAAAAAAACTTGGGGTTTTTGTCATAAACTAAGCGTTTTTCTTGTTAATTGTATTCCGGCAAAATGAGAATCTGTCCATTTGCTAATTCAACCAAGACGTTGATGCTAGCCTTTATAAAAAATAATTTATTTTTTGTTATTATGTATAATTACCAAAAAAATATTACTTACATAAGGGTTGAACTGGTCGTTTTTTGAAGTTGAAGATTATAAAAAGAAATCTGTGATTTATTGTGATTAACTGAGACTTAATTGTTATATAAATACAATGTATGTTTAGTTTAATAAAAGAATACTGTGATTTGTTGAATTGAAGAGTTACTTGTTGAAAAATGTGTTTAGTTAATTGTTGAATAAAAGAAAACTGTGATTTAATGTAAATAAATTATATTTAGAAGTAAGTCCTTACAATATTATTTCTAAACACTTCGCCTGCAATAAGGTCCGCATTTCGGCGGTTTCGGTGGGGAATTGGGTCGAGGATCCCAAAATCAATATTTGTATAGCCTTCTTCATCACTAACAACATCATCATCATCAATATTGTGCCTGATGCACATATTGTGCAATACACAACAACTGTTTATTATTTTTGATGCTTTTTCGGGTGAGTAATGCAGCACCCTGTGCTTAAGCAAACAACGGAAGCGAGACTTCAGCACTCCATTACAACGTTCTATTGTTGCCCGAGCACTTTTAAACGCGTCGTTATAATTTTGTTCAGCACCCTGTGGTTCTTGGATTGGCGTATGGAGCCACCGGCGTAGACCATACCCACTGTCACCTGTACCAATAATTAAAATTGTAAACTGAAGTACATGCCTAAATTTTAGAAATTTATATCTAGAAAAACATGTGATTGGCGGACCAATTAACTAACTCGTCAACACCCAGCCTGAACAACTAATCGTAGAAAAAAGTATGTAACTTTTTTGTAACTAGCCAACCCAGCGAGCTTCGTCTATGCCACTTTAGAACAATTTTTGATATTTGAATGGCAAGACTTGTTATTTTAACAAAGTTCCTAACAATTTTTTAAATATTATTATTTACACAGAATCTTTTTTGTCCTCGGACTGCAAGGAATTTTCAAAAAGAAATTGCTAAATTGCTCCAGTCGTTTTCAAGTTTTGTGCTGAGCCACACATTTAGCGAATCATATTTATTTATATAGATAAAATCTTCTTTTCTTACCTATTAGATAAAATCTTCCAGTTCCATTTCTATGCAGTTGTTCCATAACAGGTAAAACATTACTTTGATTCCAAATAAATGAATCATGTGTTCCTCCAGGGAACAATGCATTGACATTGATAATGCGTAAATTGGCATCACATATCTAAAACATAATTTTTTATTAATAAAATTGCAATATAAATCTAAATCATTACATAAATATGACACATTGGTATGTACTTACCAACTGAGTATTAATAGAATGATATCCCTTTCTATTAACATAAATTGCTTCCTCATACTGTTCATTATTTGGTGGTGGGTGAATTGCAACATGGGTGCAGTCTATACACCCCACTACACCTGGCAGTCTATAAATTTCATAGAACCTGTAAAAAAAATACTTTCATTTGTGCTGAACAACTTAAATTTTTAGTCATTGATTATTTTATAATATAAGCTTACTGCTGTGATATGGCCATCATTTCTGCAATATTGCTCGGGAATTTTACCCACTGTCCAAATATTGAGGGATGGTTTAAAGCATCTGTCACCTCCGTTAGACAGTTTGAAACAGTGCCCTGTGCAATTTGGGCATTCTTATGGTTCCCAATCGAACTCTGATATGAGCCTTTGGCAAAGAAATTCAATGCTACAAGTACCTGGAAATTACATGCAAATATACTTTAATGGCCAGATACATGAATTTAAAGATAGGTACTTAATTATGTCTATTTCAGAAAAGTACATAGAACCTTAGCAAAATCTGTTGTAAAGTAAGTTTTTTCATAACATAATATGCCATTTGATTGAACTATTTCAAATCTTCCTGTGGGTGTTGTAGTTAGTGACTAAAGAAGTAGAGATTTCTTATAGTGTTGAGTAGGCAAAAAATACCTTACACCACTTGACACTTCATTATATCCCAAAACATCATTTAATAAAGCCAACATTACTTTATCTGGGTGTTGTAGCAAAGTTTCTGATCACTCAGAAAGGGATTATGTGTGCATGCATGTATGAGTTAGCAATATAAAGTGTTGGCATTGTGATATGCAAGTGGTTATTGTTTTGTAAAAGAAATGAAATTAAAACCATCAAACTAACCTTAGTCTCAACGGAAAGATCAGAAGATCGTCTGGCTGGGCGCATTAATGGCCTAAGCATTTCAATTAGCTGCCGGGCAAGGTCTTTAGTGAGCCTATAATTAGATTTAAAATCTCTGTCTGTTGAAGAGAATGCATTGCTTCTTTCTTGTCTTGCTGCACCTTCTTGCTGCATGTCCTCATCCTCATCCCCACTGCTGGCATAGCCATGGTAAATCGCGAATTCTTCTAGATTCATTTTGTAATATCGGTGACCGTGTGTTTGCCAAAGTAATCGTTAGCGCAGGACGTCGGAGTCAGGAATGCAAATATCGGTGTCCGTGTGTCTAGCCAAAGTAATCGTGAGCGCGGGATGAGGGAGTCAGGATGCAAATATCGGTGACCGTGTGTTTGCCAAAGTAATCGTAAGGCAGGACGTCGGAGTCAGGAATGCAAATATCGGTGTCCGTGTGTCTAGCCAAAGTAATCGTGTGCGCGGGATGTCGGAGTCAGGATGCAAATATCGGTGTCCGTGTGTCTAGCCAAAGTAATCGTGAGCGCGGGATACTTGATCAGTGGTCGGAGTTAAGAATGCAAGGGTAGTCTTAAGAAATGGTCATAAATTCAAACAATAGCACAGTAAACAACGAAAGATGACGAAAAACTGCAAAAGTGAAATAAGTTTGACACTGACGTGACGTCTGACACAAATTTGACAATTATTCTATCATTCGCCTCCACCATTCGCCATGCAACGAGTGATCTCACCCATTCGTTGCACTCGAGCGATTCAAAAATACGGAATTAATTATGTCGAATGAAAATTAGTAGAAATCGAGCGTTCGGCGCAAGGCGAGTGATTCAAAAATAGAGCTCCAGTTCCACACAGGCGATTTCTATTGTTCGCTCAACCGAGAGGCTCACAATATCTTTACGTTCCTTAAATTTAAGTGTATTATTTAATAAAATTAAAGAGCCACCGCGAATTGCATTTTCTCGACTGAACGAACTACCAACCTGATGATTATTAAAATTAAACATGAATTGATGCACTGACCAATTATGCTACCGCGGCCCTCACGGACCGCGTCGAAATTCTTCTAGCCATTCTTAAGCTGCAAGGCAGCGCTATATCTTCGCATTATAGATAACCCACAATGTCAAATGAATACTTTTACAAGTATTAAACATTTGAAAGAAGAAATAGCAATTATAGTTATAATTTTCATTATTTTAAAGCATGTAACTGCTTGATGTTTAAATCTAAAGAAAATATAACTAGAAAAAATTCCACGCGGACCAGGCAGCGGACGGGACTCGAACCCGCACCCTTCGCAATCCGGGCGAATGCACTGACCAATTATGCTACTGCGGCCCTCACGGACCGCGTCGAAATTCTTCTAGCCATTCTTAAGCTGCAAGGCAGCGCTATATCTTCGCATTATAGATAACCCACAATGTCAAATGAATACTTTTACAAGTATTAAACATTTGAAAGAAGAAATAGCAATTATAGTTATTATAGTTGTTATTATATTAGTTTGACATTGTGGGTTATCTATAATGCGAAGATATAGCGCTGCCTTGCAGCTTAAGAATGGCTAGAAGAATTTCGACGCGGTCCGCGAGGGCCGCGGTAGCATAATTGGTCAGTGCATTCGCCCGGATTGCGAAGGGTGCGGGTTCGAGTCCCGTCCGCTGCCTGGTCCGCGTGGAATTTTTTCTAGTTATATTTTCTTTAGATTTAAACATCAAGCAGTTACATGCTTTAAAATAATGAAAATTATAACTATAATTGCTATTTCTTCTTTCAAATGTTTAATACTTGTAAAAGTATTCATTTGACATTGTGGGTTATCTATAATGCGAAGATATAGCGCTGCCTTGCAGCTTAAGAATGGCTAGAAGAATTTCGACGCGGTCCGTGAGGGCCGCAGTAGCATAATTGGTCAGTGCATTCGCCCGGATTGCGAAGGGTGCGGGTTCGAGTCCCGTCCGCTGCCTGGTCCGCGTGGAATTTTTTCTAGTTATATTTTCTTTAGATTTATACATCAAGCAGTTACATGCTTTAAAATAATGAAAATTATGAATTGATGACTTATAAGCCAATGTTCTGTGATACAAAATATATCTATATTGTTATAATTCATAAATAATTCAATTTCTAAAAGCTGGGTACAGATTGGTGCAATGCAACATGTAATGTAATATTCTGCCTTACATTGCATGTTCCCTGCTGCCTTGGACGTGTGGCGCGCGCGGTACGCGCATTGACTACGAATCAATCGAGAACATCTGTTCCCGCATTTCGTTACAAACACTAGCCCTCATCACACGTGTTCTTTTCTTTACCCGCATCACTCTACTTAGTCGATATACTTACGAATCATGGAGTCTGAAGACAGCCTTCTTGCTCCGACGATTATCAGTGCTTCATTGTTAATCATACATCAACTTTTAAAAAAACGCCGAAGACCCCGACGTTGGTGGCGCACATAATTATAATAACGGAGAGAAGGCAGAGAACTGCTTACAGATATGAATTTCCAGCATATAAGTGGCCAATACAAAAGTTTTACGAGGATGACGCCAACAGACTTTGAAAATTTACTCGCGATAGTCGGACCAAGAATAAGTCGAAAATATTCAAATTTAAGAGTTCCAATTCCAGCCACTGATAGACTAGCGATAACTCTTCGATTTTTAAGCTCAGGTGACTCTTACACAAGTCTACAGTATACATTTAGAGTATCTAAACAATCTATAAGTGGAATTGTTCCTGAAGTGTGCTCTGCTATAATTGAAGAATTAAAAGAAAACATTAAGGTACGTATAATCAAAATCTTTATTTTTCTTTGTTAACTTTAGTTAATTTATTAAATCACTAAAATCATCTATAGAAGAGTGCTGTGAGTCTTGTGAAGAGACCGACAAGGGCTGCTGGTTGATTGAGTAGTTAGCAGCCTCTACATTTTCTGCTGTGGTATAACCGTAGGATACTGAAGTTGAGGGACGATTGGAGTATGGTACTATAGCGTTCTACCCAGAAGGGATAGGACCTGGGAGCGTAGTCGATAATTGAAAAATACTGATAGAGATAAATTGTTTATTTCTTTTTATCATTCAGGCGAATATAAAGAAATTTTATCTAAATACGAGAGGAAGTTCTTGGTGCCTGAAGATCTAATCTAGAATGGAACCTTCTATCAAAAGACAGACGATTCCTTATTTCAAATTAAAATCATAACATTAACTTTTTAATATAACTGCCAACCGTAGGCATTGCAAAAGCAAAGAGTTTACTTAAACAAGGAGGCTGTAACGTCGGACGTCACATACCTCCGGCACCTCTAAAAAAAAAAATTGTTTTGTCATACCAGATGACCGAACAAAATTTTTTTTTTCCTACCTACTACATCGAGAGGGTTCGACAGTCCTATCTAAAATCCCTACCTGCTTAAGGACATAAATACAACTGGGAGGTGGCCTTTACTACAGACTAGCCCTCACAATAAGTTTGCAAAACTTGCAAAAAAAAACTTTATGGGAAAAGAACCCTAACTGTTTGCAAAGTTTTATTGCAAAGACTTTACGGGAGCAAAACCTTAACAAAATCCCTCGTACATCTCCCTCCTAACTTTAACTTTACTTTACTTTACATCGACATCAGTCGGCAAAAACAAAAAAAACAAAGCTAACCCTAGCTATACCTTAAATTACCCAAGCAAATTTTTTTTTATCCCATCTATCAGCAAAACTTTACCCTATCCCATTTATTAAACCATTAAATATCAAGAAAATTTATATTTTGAAACTTCATTACTTCCCATACTAAGTAGATGTACGAAACGAAATTCAAACTATTTCCTAAGATTCGTAAACACTAACTGGATTTGAGCAAAACCTAAAAGAATTTATAAATAATGTTTACTTTCGTACATCTTTAATAAAGATACAGACGTGGTCCACCACTTTATTGTCTTGTACTTTATTAGACACCCATGATGCGCAAACGTAATAGAAATTTTGGGTAAGGACATCTAGCATCAAACAAGATTAAACCCAATTCCCATGGAATACTAAGGGTTCCCTACCCCCAAGTCAAACTACTACAAGTGACGATTTCGACGAACGCGACGCGACCAAATTGAAACGAAAACGACGCGAATTCGTAGAGGGTGTCTCCATCATCTTCAGGGTGGATCATCGTCAGTATCGCTGACGTCTGCATGAGCGCCAGCCTGCTCTCTCTTGGGAAGTCCGCATCATGTGGTAGTACATAAAACAATCAAGAAAATATTAGTAAAATTCTTTACACCATTTTTCTTCAGTCGGGTAAGTTAATATTCAAGAAAACATTTATGATAAATCTTTATAGCCTCTTTTCCATAGTTGGGTAAATTTTCAAAGTATAACATTATTATTCATTCATTTATTTATTTTTTTTAACCTTACAGGGAATCGAACCCGTTTCCTTTTTTATAATAAGGGAATTTTCTTTATGGACCTATATTATCCTATTATACATTACTAACTATATATATTCTATCCTAATACTGAATTAATCCTATCAATGATCATATTCAAAGTCAATTGAATAATTTGAACAGAGAATCGAACCTGTTACCTATCATTCTTATGGTTATTACGATATCAAAAATCCACCTACTCAACAAATTACACTAAAGCTAACAATTAAAAGAAATGAAAATACTTTAATGAGACTACCTATTGATCTGTCATAAACAAAATGTGTAAAAGTTCCTTATAATATGTTTATTGAAAAAAAAATCTAATAAAATGACAAAGTTATATTTAATATGCTTTTGAAATAAAATTCTAAAATGACTATTGTACTGAACCTTATTTACATACCACCATTGCTTTAAAACATTCATATAAACAATAAACTGAAATAAAATCTCATTAGTAACACATTATTATTATTGTACTATCAACCTATTCGGCATAATATAAATTTTCATCATACACCGAATTATCACTATTCCTTTCATTATTCTTTTTTATATATTGTCTTTTAAACTTGCACTTAATATGTTTGATTATTAAATGTTCATTATAAAAGTCTACTATCGCATTATTTCGAAGTAAGAAATCCTGTCCTAAGATGAGATTATGCCTAATATTTTCTACCACAAGAAAATCATGAATGAATAACACATTGTCTATCAATAATTTAAGGTTAACTTTCCCTATAACAGACAATTCTTTACCATCGACAGCTTTCAACTTCATATCGCTTTCATCAATTTGTTGATGAATTCGATTAACTGTGTCCTTCGACACCACAGACACTGCAGCACCACTATCAATGAGCCCTACAAACTTCTTATCACGACACGTTATATTAATTAATGGTTTGGACTCACTTGTATATTGATTGCAGTTTTGTAACGGCTGTGAATGTTGAATTTCTTCATCAGCCATCGCCATTAAATTTTCTTCATAAAAAATTTTCTTTGGATGCTTCTTCTTTAGTTTTTTCTTTTTGTTCGTGTTACTGGAACAAAAAGTGCGGGGAATCATGTGTTCGGGAGGAACAATGGGATGAGAAGGGACACTTTGGGAGGAAATGAAGTTGATTTCCTTCTCTTGTTCTTCTTCATGCCTTATTATATGCGAAATTTTCGTCGCCTCGAAGTGAGTAAACGATGGTTGGATCGGCAGATTCCAACCAATTTCGACGCTTTCGTCCTCAAAAATGTCCTGCGCTTGTCGTAAAACATTTCTCAAATGTGTTTTATCACTGTATAACTGAAATGCGAAAAGATTTTTTGTATTCAAATTCGCATTTTTCAAGAACTGTCTAATGAAACATCTGTCATCGATGACAGCTCCCGCCTTTGGCTATAGGCATGCTTCCGATATATCAAAACGAATCCAAAATCCGATTTCAAACACAAATCGATACCGAACGATTTCTCAACAAGAAAATCCGATTTCAGAAATCTAACCGAACCAAAACCAAATACCACAAGTATCCAAATCTAAATCGGATTCGAAATTC